AAAAAAAAAAAAAAAAAAAAAGGCAGAAACAAGACAGTAAATTCAGTGGAAGCTAAAACTAATATTTTTCAAATTTGTTAAAGAAGCAGCCCTTCAAGAAACAGTTATAAAACTAAAGATCATGAAATATTCCCTAAAACAAGAAACAAATAATGAGAAAGTATAGAAAAGCTTGTTACAGTATGCAAGGCTTCCACCCTTTGAACTCAACAAGGATGCTAAAACAAGTGTTATAAGTAAAAAGTGCTGATGGAGACGATTCAGGAAACAGGACTACCAAATGGAAGTTCATAGACCCCAGTTCCTGCCCTGTTACCCAGATGAAGGCCAAGAGGAGACACTTAAAACAGTGCTCCTTCCACCTAGCAGAGCACAGCACTGCAGTCCAACAATGAATTTGGTGCAAGCCCTTTCTCAACAGATTTGATGTAACAAAGGAACTTAAGAAAACTGTTTTACCTCCATCCTTCATGGAGAGATTTATTATTGTCTCCTCTGCTGGGATACTGGCACAAGTTTATCAGCTCTTCCCTCCAGCTCTTCATTGGCTACCTTTCCCCTCAACCCCCCCCCACCCCTTTTTGAGACAGAGTCTCACTCTGTTGCCCAGGCTGGAGTGCAGCGGCATGATCTCAGCTCACTACAGCCTCAACTTCCTGGGCTCAGGCGATTCTCCCACCTCAGCCTCCCAGGTAGTTGGGATCACAGGCACATGCCACCATGCCCAGCTGATTTTTTGTAGAGACAGGGTTCACCATGTTGCCCAGGCTGGTCTCTATAACTCCTAAGCTCAAGTGGCCCACCTGCCTCAGCTTCCCAAAGTGCTGGGATTACAGGTGTGAGCCACAGCGTCTGGCTGCCTTTTTTCTTTAAAGTAGTTCTCTTCAGGTTCTATTATTGTTGTTGTTAAGACATTACTCATATACTATAAAATTCACCTTTTTAAAGTTCATGATCTTTAGTATATTCCCAAGGTTGTACAAACATTACTGTTATCTAATTCCCATAGAGAAGCTTTGAACCCATTAGTAGACATCTCCAGTTCCACCTCCCCTCAACAGCCCCTGCCAACCACTAATCTACTGTCTGTCTCTATATATTTACCTATTCTAAATATTTCACATGAATTGAATCATACAATATGTGGCCTTTTGTGTCTTGCTTTTCTTGCTTAATGTTTTTATGGTTTATCTGTGTTGTAACATGCATCAGTATTACATTCTTTTTTATGGCTGCGCAATATTCTATCATGGTTATACTACATTATGTTTATACATTTATCAGTTGATGAACTTTTGGGCTGTTTCTACTTTTTGACTATTGTAAATAGTACTGCTATGAACATTCGTATATAAGTTTTTGTGTAGACATATGTTTTCATTTCTCTTGGGTATATACCTAGAAGTGGAATTGCTGGGTCATATGGTAACACTATGTTTAACTTTTTGAGGAACTGCCAGACTGTTTTCCAGTTTGGCTGCACTATTATATGTTACCATCACAATGTATGAGACATCCGATTTTGCCGCATTATTGCCAACGTTTGTCTTCTTAATTATAGCCATCTAGTGGATGTAAAATGGTATCTCATTGTGGTCCTGATTTTCATTTCCCTAATGACTAATGATATTCAGCATCTCTTCATGTGCTTGTTGGCCATTTGTATATCTCCAGAAAAACGTCTATTCAAATTCTTTGCTCAATTTTAATTGGGTTGTCTTTTTGTTATTGCATTATAAGAGTTATTTATATAATCTGGTTACTAGATCCTTACCAGATACGCAAATATTTTCTTCCATTCTGTGGATTTAAATTTCTTGAAATGTCCTTTGAAGCACTATTGAGCTACTTTTAACCAATATTTTTCTGTGCCTGGTGGCTCATACCTATAATCTCAGTACTTAAGGAGGCCTAAGCAGGTGGATTGCTTCAACCACCAAAATTAGCTAGGTGTGGTAGAATGCGTCTGTAGACCCAGCTATTTGAGGCTAAAGTGGATCGCTTGAGCCTGGGAGGTGGAGGCTGCAGTGAGCTATGATGCACCACTACATTCCAACTTTGCAACAGAATGATACCCTGCCTCAAATTAATTAATTAAAAAGCACAAATATTTAAAAATCCCAAACCAGATTAGAAATATGTAGTTGGTGTTCATTTTTATTTATTTATTTATTTTGAGACGGAGTCTTGCTCTGTCACCCAGGCTGGAGTGCAGTGGTGCGATCTCAGTTCACTGCAACCTCCACCTCCCTGGTTCAAGAGAGTCTCCTGCCTCAGCCTCCCAAGTGTCTAGAATTACAGGCACCCGCCCTCACACCCAGCTAATTTTTGTATTTTTAGTAGAGATGGAGTTTCACCATATGGGCCAGGCTGGTCTTGACCACAGGTGATCCACCCACTTCAGCTTCCCAAAGTGCTGGGATTACAGATGTCAGCCACTGTGCCCAGCCGCCTTAAGCTTTACAAGCAAATAATTGTATACAGACCATGTTCTGAGGCTTCCAAACCAAGTCTTGAGTTCATTAAGGGATCCGTCATAGTGATAGCTATAGTTTTTATAGCATTTATATGCCAGGCGCTGTTTGGGCACTCTACGTGTATTAACCTATTTAATTCTCATAACAATCATGTTAGGTAGAGACTTATGCTCATTGCACAGATGAGAAAGTGGAGGCAGAGAGGGAGGTTAAGTAATTTGCCTGAAACCAAGAGTAGGATACCAGAGATGGACTCCAGATTTCGTTGCTTTCAACCACTTCCTATACTGCCAAAGAGGAATTAAAGCATTTCAAAGAATGCCTACTCCCTCGCTTTGGAGAGAGTAGTGTTTTCCTGGTGTCTGCACTGTGGACATTTTTCCTGTCCTTACCTGTCCAGAAACTAGCAGTGCTCCCCATCCAGGTGTCTTCGTTGCACATTTGCCTTCCCAGTCTGGAGTCCACTCGGCTTCAGGATCTTCTCTCCTCCCCATGGGTCTGACTGAGGCTTTTTTTTTTTTTTTTTTTTTTTTTNTTTTGACGGAGTTTCGCCCTTGTTGCCCAGGCTAGAGTGCAATGGCGCGATTTTAGCTCATCACAACCTCTGCCTTCCGGGTTCAAGCCATTCTCCTGCCTCATCCTCCTGAGTGGCTGGGATTACAGGTATGTGCCACCAAGCCCGGCTAATTTTTTGTTTTTAGTAGAGACGGGGTTTCTCCATGTTGGTCAGGCTAATCTTGAACTCCCTACCTCAGGTGATCCCTTGCCTCAGTCTCCCAAAGTCCTGGGATTATAGGCGTGATCCGCCACGGCTGGGCCTGACCGAGCCTTTAATGCTCTTTGAAGTAACAGCGAAATAGCCTGTTTCTCAAATGGAGTGGTTCTAAATTTCTGGTAGCCAATGAGCGCCCAGGAACCGTGGATTCCTCCCCGTGAGGCTCAAAGCTGAGCGGTGGGTGGAGCCAGCGGAGGGGTCGGAATTGAGCCGTAGCCGCGGTACCTACTGTGTGCCGCGCGCCGCTGCCTGGAGCCGAGCTATGAGCTGGACCTGTCCGCGTTGCCAGCAACCTGTTTTCTTCGGTGAGGGCCGGGCTGAGGAAGGGGCGAAGATGGGGCAAATGAGAACCGCTGGATTCCCTGAGGACGGGAGAGCTGGCCACGGTGTGGTCCCAGACACCTTTTTCCACCTGCAGCGGCTGGTAGTCTCTGCACCACCACCCGCTTTCACTCAGGTCTTCTCCCCTCCTCTGAGAGTTCTGTGGGGAGTATGGCATCGGAGCAGGATGGAGCTGGCCTCCTGGAGACACTCATCTCCAGGGAGCAGGGCAGGCCAAGCTAATTCCCTAGAGGGCTGAAGGGGGAAAGGAGGGGCCCCACGCTTGGACAGTCTCCTCGCAGCTTTGTTCCACTTTGTCCTCCACAGCTGAGAAGGTGAGCTCCCTCGGCAAGAACTGGCACCGCTTCTGCCTGAAATGTGAGCACTGCCACAGCGTCCTGTCCCCTGGCGGGCATGCAGAGGTAAGGTCTGGCCAGGGAGCACTGATCTGTTTACATCATTGCCTCTCCACCCGCCAGGGACCAGCCCCCAATTTCAGCCCTGGAGGCCTGCCAAAGGGAACCTCAGTAGCCAACCCCTAGGGTGCCCACCTGGTGGACTGCACACCAGCCAGGATTTTGGGAACCTGTGACTGTGGACCCCATGGCTTTGTGGGTCAGGAGGGGTGGGAAGCAGCATCACCTCCTGAGCTGCTCTTGCTCTTCCTCCCTTGACCACAGTGGAAATTCTGGTATGCCAGCCCATCCCCCACCCCTCTTAGGCCCACCAGACTCAGCCAGTGGACAGACACACCTGGCAGCCTGTCTGGAGGGAAGGCCTGTGGGGCATGGCTCCTGTTGGCCCTGAGTAACCCACTTTCCTCTACCTGTGCCCAGCACAACGGGAGGCCATACTGCCACAAGCCATGCTATGGGGCTCTCTTTGGACCCAGGGGTAAGTACCAGCCTGAAAGGGGCCAGGGGTCAGCAGAAGCCTCCTTGTGGCTGGGAGCCACAAGGCTGGGTCAGGCTCAAGCCTGACCTCCCCTATTCTCTCCTCAGGGGTGAACATTGGTGGTGTGGGCTCCTACTTGTACAACCCCCCGACTCCCAGCCCTGGCAGCACCACTCCTCTCAGCCCCAGCAGCTTCAGCCCTCCCAGGCCAAGGACTGGCCGCCCTCAAGGCAAGAAAAGTAAGTGAGGCTGGGCTTAGCTCCTCCTAGTCCTCCTCCCGACCCTTCCCCAAGCTGGAGCAGGGGGTGGGGCCAAGTGGAAGTCTCCTACCCAACCCTCTGCTTCACATTCTCACTACCTTTGTTCTTGGCAAAGTCTTCTCTGTCTACTCCCCTGCTCCTTTTTTTTTTTTTTTTTTTTTTTTTTTCCTCATGTCAGCTGCTGAGTTAAGAGGTAAACTGTTAGGAGGCCAAGGCAGGCAGATCACAAGGTCAGGAGTTCCAGACCAGCTTGGCCATCATGGTGAAACCCCCGTCTCTACTAAAAATACAAAAATTAGCTGGACGTGGTGGCTGGCATCTGTAATCCTAGCTACTTGGGAGGCTGAGGCAGGAGGAATCATTGGAACCCAGGAGGCAGAGGTTGCAGTGAGCTGAGATCTCACCATTGCACTCCAGTTGGCAACAGAGCAAGACTCTGTCTCAAAAAAAAAAGGGGGTAAATTGGGCTGATGGCATTATCCCCTCTCCTCCCATTTTACAGGTGAGGAAAGTGAGGTCCAGACAGGGCAAATGACCTTGTCCTTTCACAAAGCTAGTCAGAGGCAAGGCTGACCAGGAACTTAGGCCTCCCCCAGGCCAGGGCCATGGAAGGAATGACCTACAGGAGAGGGGTCATTGGGATAAGGCCAGCCCCTTACATTCTCCAACTTTTCAACTCTGGTCCCTGTTCCTTCTCCCCATACCCTGGAGTAGGCAGTGACACTGTGCTCCCCAACACCTGACACCCTTGCCCTGGCCAGCTCCTGTATCAGCTCAAGTTTCCTGAAGATTGAGTTGCTGACAGGGTTGCAATGGTGGGAAGGAAGCAGGTAGTCCATGATACACATAGGGTTGGGCAGGAGGTGGAGTCAAAGGGGGCTCATCTCTGGCCTGTGAAATGCAGATTCTTGGGTGGGGCATTCTGGAATGAGCATGGCTTTTGGAAGAGGACAGAGCCATATGCAGGCAGGTGTTGGTGAGCCCTGCTTAGGCCCTCATCTCCACCTCAGACCTAGCCAGCGCCTCTTCCCCTTAAAGGCCTTCCGCATATGAAGACATTCACTGGGGAGACGTCGCTGTGCCCTGGCTGTGGGGAACCTGTCTATTTTGGTAAGTGACAATGGAAAGCTTGGAGAGGGGGATACAGGGTGGGTAGCAAGGCGCAAGGAGGTGATCCAAGGCATGTGGGTCTCCCTACTCTGCCCCTAAAATGGAAGAACTATCAGTTCTCTCCACCACCAGCTGAGAAGGTGATGTCATTAGGGAGAAATTGGCACCGACCCTGTCTGAGGTGTCAGCGTTGCCGCAAGACCCTGACTGCTGGGAGTCATGCTGAGGTGAGAAGGGCAGGGATGGGTGGTTATGTTGGGAGGGGGCTGGAGATGGGAAGAAAACTAGGCTGAGACAGCTCTCTTTCTCTTTGTGTCTCAGCATGATGGAGTCCCCTACTGCCACATCCCCTGTTACGGCTACCTGTTTGGCCCCAAAGGTGGGCAACCCCACCCCAGACGCCAGGCCTAAAGTATGGCATGTACATGGGCTATGGGGATGTGTGGACAACTTGGTTGTGGTTAAGCATACCCCGGCCCCTCCCAGTTCCCTCCAGCCCTGAACCCTGCACGCACAGACCCAAGGCCTATGGTGATAGGGCTCTCTCTCTCAGGTGTGAACATTGGCGATGTGGGCTGCTACATCTATGACCCAGTGGAGATAAAATTGAATTGAGACGCTCACAGAAAAGGTCACCCTAACTCAGGCTTCTCATCATTCCCCTCATGGTCCAATGGGAGCTACAGAAATCTCCAGTCCCATGCAGGTTGGGGAAAGTGGGATCCTGGGGGCCTGGTCAGAGGCTCCATGGTAGGCCAGAGTCTAGACTTTCTCTGCCAATTTTTCCCTTTCCCATTTCTATCTGGTTAGGGAATAGCTCGTTTTGAAGGGTATCCTCCTCCTGGCCATCCCAACCCTTTTCCCCAGCAAATTCTGGAGCTTCAAGGTACTCATAAAACTTGTGTTTATTGAATTTCAGCCTCTCTGGCGTCTCCAATAAAATATTGGCTCCCATGCCTTCAACTCTTCTTTGGGCATGAGACCAGTGGGTTGGAGGATGGGGAGTGTGGGAGTTGTGGGGGGCATGCATTGCCCTGCAGGTTGCCTCGGCGGTAGCAGGGCCAGCCATGAGAACAAAGAGCTCTGTTCTTTTTGTCCCCTTGGGCTGGCATTGGCAGTCCTAGCATCAAACAGTAGACAGCATGCCCACCAGCCCCACTGGTACCAGAAGTCTCATATGATAGTCCTTTCCTTAGCACCATCTCTAGAAGAAGCACATCATTCAGCAAGTTATTTGAGCATAGCAACTCATTTGACATGGTAGGGCCTGCCAAGAGGCTTCATTATCCATTTGGTAGATGAACACACTGAGGCTCAGAGAGGGAAAGCCACATGCCCAAGGTCACACAGCAAGTTAATGGTGAAGCTGTCATCAGAGCCCAGGGCAGACTCGGTGGCTTCCTATCCAGGGCTCTTCCGACAGCTCCTTACCACTGCCCCAACCCAAGGGGCACCTTTATTTACAGAATCCTCCCCAGCCATGAGAGGGGTGCCCAGCAGCCCACTGCATTCTGGGAAGTCGACTGTTCCTGGAAGCCAAATAATCAGTGTTGGATGAGCACAGGGAGTAGGTACCGGTGGCAACTCCAGCCCTTGGCAGAGGGTTTGATACTCCCAGCCTGAGTTGTAGGACCTGCGCTTCTGGTCTCCCAGCTCCTGCTGCAGAGCTTCTGTGGAGGGCCTGCCTCTGCTCCCACTTAGTTCTGGACCTGCTTCATAGGCATCTCTTCCTCCTGGAGACTGGTTGGGGCTCTAGGAAGGAGTCACGGGCAATGATGGGGTTTAATCCCTGAGCCTGCCTCCCCAGCCTGCCCCATCAGGGCTGTCCCAGGGCTCTCTCCAGCTCCTGGTATACAAACATCTGTACTCCCATAAGTGATTCACACATATGCTTGTACACACCCCTGATGTGTAGGCATACTTGAGTGTGCACACATACACATCTTTCTGAACGACCTTATGCATTTGTGTTCATACACACGTATGGACTCATATATACATTTATGCTTGCAGTTTACGTATCACGGGTCATGCACCTTGAAACACTCACCTGTGCACACTCACATACATGCACCAAGTACACATGCGCAGATATATTTTCGCATCTGAATCCTAAGGTGTCAGGTATCTGAGTACCTGCATCCATCTGCATGTGCTCACCCATACACAGACACAGTCCTGTGCACACACCTCTTTCTCTCCACGTCTTGGATGGTTTCTGGCAGCTGTGCCTGCCTTGTCTCTGGCAGCAGGAGGGCGGTGCAGGCAGCCAGCAGGGCGATCCCCCCATAAACAAGCTTGGGCAGCAACAGCCACACTCCATCCAGCAAGGCCACCAATGGGGCCAAAGAGCCCCCCAGCCGGCCCACCAGTGCAGTCAGCCCCATCCCTGTCTGCCTGTTCAGAGAAAGAGAATGAGGGAGGCAGATGGTGTTCACACCTACCTGGGGTCATGCCCCACAGGGCTCCCCTCAAGGGCAGGCATACGCTGATGCCCCCTACTCTCCATATAGCTAAGGAAACTAGGACTTCTTTCAGTTTGTTTTCCCACCCACCTTCAGGCCAGAAGGCCCCAAGCCAGCACCCACCAGAGGATGGGGCCGCCATTCTGACAGAGTACCAATCAGGTACCACTGAAAGAGAAGAAAAGTAACCAGACTGGGATAAGGAAAGGGTGATGTGGAAGGAAGAAGGTCAGTAGTTTGTTTGAGGAGACAAAGCTTTTTCTTAACTTGACCAGAAGCCTAGAAGTTTCCTCTTCCCACCTGCCAAGAGCTAGCTGAAAGAGCCCTGGGCCTTTCAAGGGGTTCCCCTTGGGACAGTCCTTAGGGGCATCTCTGCCTTCCAGGGGTGAATGCGATGGGGGTAGGCAGAATGGGGCTTCATGGGGCTGTTTTCTTTATTATTATTTTTTATTTAAAATTTTTTAATTTATTTGAGGAGTTTCTCACCCAGGCTGGAGTGCAATGGCACGATCTCAGCTCACTGCACCCTCCACTTCCCAGGTTCAAGTGATTTCTCCTGCCTGAGCCTCCTCAGTAGCTAGGATTACAAGCATGTGCCACCACGCCCAGCTAATTTTGTATTTTTAGTAGAGATGGAGCTTCACCATATTGGTCAGGGTGGTCTCAAACTCCTGATGTCAAGGTACCTGCCCACCTTGGCCTCCCGAAGTGCTGGAATTACAGGCATGAGCCACAGTGCCCAGCCTTGGGGCTGTTTTCTTAAAAGGCCCAGAGAGGATGTCTGACTTGGCTTAGGGTCACATAGTACAGAAGATAAGAGGCCCTGTCTTCTCCAAGACTGGGGTAAACACAGAGTGCCCTGATTAGCTCTGTATTCTGGGTGTAGTATAGAGAATGAGTGAGAGGCTGGGTGTGGTGGCTGATGCCTGTAATACCAGCACTTTTGGAGGCTGAGGCGGGAGGATCACTTGAGGCCAGGAGTTTGAGACCAGTCTGGGTAATACAGCAATACCCCATCTCTACCAAAAATTAAAAAAAAAAAAAAATGAGTGAGAGAGACCAGGTTGTGGTGTGTGTATGTAGAAGTGTTGGTTAAGACACATGACTAACAAGCCCCACACCCAGGTCGGTTGTAGGCTCCCTCACCTGAGCACAGTAGGGTACAACTCCGAAGTGAACAGGTAGGCAGTGGTGAAGGCAGCTTCAGAAAAAGCTTTTCCTATCACCGCCAGGGTGGTGCTCCAGGACTTCATGTCTGGAGGGAAGGGGGTTCAGGTAGTGAGAGGGCTGTGAAGAGGGAGGGTTTCCTGGATAGAGGGCAGAGTCTCCAGAGTGGGCTGGAACTTAAGTCTGAGCTCACTGGGTAAGGGCGGGGAACTGGGGGAGGAGTGGTTCTTGGCCAGAAGGTGGGGTCTCCGGGGGAGTGGGCGGGGTTCCTGGCCCGGCTTCTTGAGTGGGCAGAACCTATGGGCCTGGGCTCACCAGAGGACATTAGCAGTCTAGTGCCCAGCGCCAGGCTGGTGCCCAGCAGTGTCCCGGCTTGCGTGAGGCGGCGTCCTGCGTGGCGCACCGACAGGTAGACCAGCAGCTTGGAGGGCAGTTCCACCATCCCAAACAACAGCTGCGTCTGATATATGTTCAGCCCCAGTCCTGACACATCCAGACTCAGGCCGTAATAGGAGAAGTTCACTCCGAACCTGAAAGGAGTCACAGTGCCACTCGGGGTACCCTCCTTCCCATCCCTCTTTGTTTGTCCTCTCTTCTCAGGAAGACTTGGCCTTTTACAGGGACAATCTCCTTCGATCTCCACTTCCCACCTCCTCCCCGCAAGGACCTTCTCTGACATCCATGATGACCTCTGAGTGTGCAGCATGCGCCCGCCGTTGGTCAAAGTTCCTTTACCCTAATTTTCACAGCAACTCTGACATGGAACTGACAACAGCCCATTTTACAGAAGGAACATTGGGGCTCGGAGTGGCTAAGTGATCTGTCTCTGTCCAAGTAAGGAGGTGGGAGTCTGAACTTGAACTCATGCATCTCTGCTGCCTGCTTCATTTTCTGACTTCGCTGGGCAGATTGCCCACAGAGGCTTATTCTCCTCTCCTCCACAGTTACACTCAACTTGTCCCTCAGAGCCCTTCCCATACTCAGCACTAGCCTGGAGTCCGCTCCTCTCTCCCACCACACCCACACCAGACCCAATGCAGCCTCCTCCTCACCACACCACCATGCAGCACAGTGAGATGTGTCGGAGCTGTTGCGTTCGGAATAGGTCTAGGTATGAAGGTCTTCGGACCACCCGTTCCCTGGCGGCCACTTTGCTCACAGCCTGGTAGGGAAGGAAGTGAGGCTGTAACATCGGAGTTGGTTATGTGGTCTCAATGGAACACAATGCTCTCCCCCGCCCCTTCTATTCCATCCACAGTGGTGGGGGTGGAGATGCACACAGCAGCTGAGAAGAGTGGGTCTCGAATGATGCATGTGGCCCACTGGAGCCAGGTAGGACATCCTAAACAGTTCCAAACTCTCCACTGGGGCCAGGGGCTTTTCCTGCCATATATGGTGGCTCTGGGAGGGAGGCACTTGACACAGCCCACCCCCACCACACACATATATGCATGTTCACACACACATTCACCCTTACCTCCTGGCTGAGGTTGTCCTCACCCACTGGCCGCCCGTTGAGCCTGGCACAGTGGAGCAGGTACCTGTGGGCCTCTTCCACACCGCCCTGGGTCAGAAGCCAGCGTGCAGACTCAGGCACCCACCTAGGGATAGGCAGGAGGCCCTTCAGCCAGAAAGTCATGACCCTAAGCCACATCTTCCTGGACATACAGCAGGCTCTCAGCTTCCAGGCTTTTGCTTATGTAGAGCCTGGAACATCATCTCCTCCCTAAGTCCTCCACATTTGATGAACTCTTATTCATCTTTTAATGCCCAATGTAAAAGCCACCTCTGGGCTGGGTGTGGTGACTCATGCCGGAAAATCCCAACAATTTTGGAGGTCAAGGCAGGAGGGTGGGTTTGAGCCCAGGAGTTCAAGATCAGCCTGGTGAGCCCCTGTCTCTACAAAAAATTAAAAAATAAATATTAGCTGGGTGTGGTGGCACACACCTGTAGTCCCAGCTACTCAGGAGGCTAAGTCAGGAGGATCACTTGAGCCTGGGAGGTTGAGGCTTCAGTGAACTGTGATTGTGCCACTGTACTCCAGTGACAGAGCGAGACCTTATCTCAAAAAAATAATAAAAATAATAAAAGCTACGTCTTTCCACACTTCCTTGCTCAGACCTAGGTCCTCCATAGCCTGGGAGTCCCTTACTCAACTGAATTGTCCTTACCCTCAAGACCAGCTCCTAGCACCAGCCACCCACTTCTCCCATGGGTGGCAGGAGGGAATGGGAGGGAGGAGATACAGACATGCAGATATATCCAGAAAGGCCACCCAAGGCCAAGTCATCTTTGGGAGGCAATATAGTGCCCACCTTGCCTGT